TTAAATAACACATCTATATAGTCATCCTGAAAGGCACATTCCAGTGTAATTTAGAATTTTGTGAAAAAAATTCTTCATAGAGAAGAGAGCAAAAGAAACATACAAATACTGAGTGATGCCTCACCTGGCATGAACTCATATTTACTAAATGGCAAAAGCGTTCCAAAGAATTCCCTTGCTTTCCAAGGACATTTACTCAATTGGATCAGCTATTCAGGCATTACTGTAAGGGGTAATTCTGCACATGGAAGATAACACAGGGACGAGTGCAACAGGTCTGTCATCTTGCCCGCAGCCTCCATGAGTTCAAAGTTACTGACTGAAGTGTCCTTCTACTTATGTAGGATTCCTACAGGATGCAGAACCCTGATTTTCCACAGTTATACATTGCATGGAAGCCACCACATGTATAAGAGGCTTCCTCACTCCAGGCAGTTGCCCTTAAACAGAATAGGGCTTGGGTGTTCATTTAATTGTTAGTAACACAATACTGCTTGCTACTGAGGATGCTTTCAGCCATGTACATAACCCTTCAGGTGAGGTCCTATGAGATTCTCTGCAATGACACAGGATGGAGCTAAATGGTCCAAGAAACACTGAGAACACTTCCAGACTATCTCTATTTTGTAGTGAGATTCAGTCACATACTGACAAATTCAGATTGCAGAGTTAAAGTTGATTTAGCGCTCTTGTGCAACAAAACACTCCCGCCCCGCCCGCCCTGCCAAAAAGAAAACCAGACCTTTTTTCATGATAAGGAAAGTGATTGGGAAATAAATGCACTGGAAAGTGTGGGATAATGCTTGTTTGACCCAATGTCATATAACCTCCTCAGAAACAAATGAGAATGTGCACTACCTCCCTGCAGACATGTGCGATCACATCAGGAGGAATGCTCAATGAGCTGGTCATTTGGAAGTGACTTGAGTCTCTTTGCATCCTTTTCATCAAAATATAGCTTTACCTAACATGCGATGCGACATCATCATGCTGCGAGAGTGCCCTGATAACCAGTGCTGACAGCCAGCACTAGGCAGACTTGACGATGTTAAAACGTACTTTGTATTAAAACAGGCTTCAACAGAAATAGAGGAACAGTGGCATTGAATGGCAGCAGCCCCAGACCTTCCATAACATCTAGTTGCAACCTCAAAAGTGATTTCAGATGTGCATTCTGTTCCTTCCATGGCAGCGCCATGTCTGAAGCCATCTGTGTTTTGCTATTTTTGTCCCAGCAGGTTCACACAGAGCTGGTGGAATTGTTTATATAAACACAGAACTGCTGATTTTAGGCATCTTTATATGCACTGAATAAAGAGATGTGTTTATTTGATTATGTATGTAAGGTTTTTTGTTTTTGTTTTAAGAAACATCCCTCAGGGTTCCAGATTGAATGGAACCCTATATATGTGAAGCCTTCCTCCCTTTAGACATTTGCAATCATTTCCATCCACACAGATGCCTCATTCCCACCTTGTATCTTCTATTTAACCATGAGTAGAATATCCAAATAATGCTATAGTGATAACCAGGACCCACAGTCTTTCTTGCAGCAGCTGTGACATTTAGACAAATAATGTCACAGCTTGGGGTTCTCTTTTTTGTTGTATATTTGCTTTCCTCACAAACAGGGGGCATCAGCACTCTTGCTCGCTTGATGAAGAACACTTGGAATGGAGAGTTGAGCAGTGCATATTTTCAGATCCCCTGCAACGTCAGTAACTTACTGTCAACCCCACAGATTCCGTACCTGCAGCATGCGCAAGGGGAGACAATGCAGGAATCTGAAGACACGTCCAATGCTTCATGCATTTCCTGTGCAGTCTGATCATGTCACACAATCATCACCTGGTACCAAAGGTACTTGAAGAGCATTTTTTAAAAACTGCCAAAAAGCTGGTTTTCACTGATGAGATTTCTGTTATTGAAAAGCATGGCCATTATGCTTCTCATATTGGCATCTCACTTCTTTCTTTTGTTGTCTAAATACCCGCCAAGCTATGGACTGGTTTAATTTAATATACTCTTCATAGAAGCCTAGTATAAAATCTTATTTAGAATACTACATCTGCATCCAATCTATTCTTTTCTTTAATTTTTCATTGTCCTTTCGTGCTAAATAATTACTTCCACAGTTAGAATGGATCAGCTCTGTACTGAGCACTGGAGTAGATGACCTTAATTTTGTGACCTTGCAGCCAACACATACTTTTCTGGTACAAACTCATCTCGCTGTTGTGCTTTTAAAGATGCTTTCTTCATTAACATCACAAAAAGGCATTGGAAGCCAAGTGAGACAATATGCAATTTTGTATTGCACTCAAATTCTTTGCTGCAATGCACTTAGATAACTTCCCATTAAAATTGTATTTTCTCCTCCCCCCACCACCACCTTGTTTTGTCTGTAGTAAATATTCAGGGAGACCTAGTGGGGGCAGGAAGAGATTGCTTCTCTATTTTAGATTATTCTGAAAAATTATCTGGTTTCAAGTTTGCTGCCTGGCTCTAGCCACTAAGATAATGGCATAAAAAAAACCTAGTGGTGATAAATCTTCTTTAACAGATTACTGTTTTCAAAGAGCAGCTCATAAAAAAATAAAAATAAAATGCATTTCAAATCTGAATCGAAACGATCCAACTTTCAACATAATGCTAATCATCATGTGATAAACTGAGTATAGATATGAATGACAGCAAGTAAAAAATAATTAGAGGAGAGTTGTTATGAATGAAGATGAGCCAAAATCATAACACTGTTATGTATTTGTAGGGGTGGGGTAGATTCCCCCTAAATAGGTTATAATTTAGTAAAGGTTAGAATTACTCAAGGTGTGATTAAACTTTTCCAAACACGGAAACCCCTTGGTCCTAGCTGGATGGGCCATTAGCTGGGGACAAAGGCCAGTGATGGCCCATCAAGGAAACCATCAGAGGGCAAGACTGCCAGGTAAAGGGAAATTTGCTGGGTGCTAGTGAGCAGAAGCAGAAGCCCAGTTTAGGGTTTCAACTTTGAATGACGTAGGCTGGGGAGGAGGTCCTCAGAGGGGCAGAACTTTGATTAAGCTGGGGATGACTGTCTGGGAGAAAGAAACACAGAGGATGGCTTTTTGCTGTCCTTTTAATCCAATGCTGCCCTTATGGGGGGAAGCCAGAACCCCTGCAATCCCTCCATCTAGGTGCAGATTGTGGATATGTGTAAATAAAACCATACAGCCTAAAGCAGGGGTCAGCAAACTTTTTTAGGAGGGGGCCGGTTCACTGCCTCTCAGACCTTGTGGTAGGCCAGACTGCAGGCGCAGGAGCGCGGGGTGGAGGAGGGCTTCTCTCTCCACATCTCTCCCCAGCCCCTCCCCTCCCCCTGCTTTCCTACCTCCTCTGCTACTCTGCCTGAGTTTGGAAGCCTACGGCAGTGGTGGCACTTCTCCTTTCCTGGCCAGCTTTCCCGGACGCGAGGTGCAGGGCCAGCAGGTGTGCCAAGCTCCAGCCGAAGCCTGTGACATGCCCGTCACGATGCCCACAGCGCGGCCATGGACAGAGAGGCTGGCGGGCCTATGGCGAGTCTGGGCCGCACCTCAGCATGCGGGCAGCGAGGCTTCGAATTGGCTGGCACCAATCAAAGCCCAGGTCCCTTCCTCTGCAGGGCAGGGGGGGGGAGGAGCCAGGAGGGAGGAGCTTCTGTAGTGTGTGTGACAGAGGGAGGGGAAATAAATGGCACCTGAAAAAAAAATGCAAGCAGTGGTTCCAGGACTGTCTGTGGGCCGGATCCAGAGGGCAATTGGGCCTGATCTGGCCCGCAGGCCTTAGTTTTCTGACCCATAGCCTAAAGATACCACAGTCCTTGCTGTGCCTTATTCCTGAAACACAAACTCTAGGTAAGCGCCCCAAACCCCTGGAATCTCACACCACTCATGAAGAGTGGGATAGCGTGTAACAACACTACACTACCATCAACTGGGATTTGCACTGCGTTCTTTAAGTGCTTTACATTATACGTCTCATGCTTCTGCATGGCTGTTGCCAAATTGGGTGTGTGTATGTTGAGCTGTAGCTTTCAGCTTTCAGACAGAGAATTATTTGGCCCTTAGATAAGAGTTGTATCACAGGTGTCTATTCAGAGTTGCTGATTCTAGGTCTTCCTCCATTGCTTCCTCAGTGGTCCTTGCAGTGGTCCTGATATACATACATACTTTATCAGGCATCATGGTAGTTATCAGTTTGGCTGTTAGGATCCCAGAGCTTTGATATGCATTTGCCTCTTGCCGCAAGCAGAGGAAAGCCAGCATCAGGTACGGTAACTAAACCACCTTTTTCTTTGTTGCCAGCGCTGCCCTAACAATAGTGACATATTTGGGTCACACTTACCAAACAAGCCTCCTCTACTTTCCTTGGGGGCGCAATAAATCTCACATGTCCCAAGGCAAGCTGGATCACCAAGTTCTCCAAACAATGTTCCAATAACTATTTCTATTATTTCACATTAAAGTTATACTTCAAAGGCAGCTAATAACGCAACAAATTTAGGAATCTCAGAAATGCAGTAATAAATCACATGTGTGGTGGAGGTGGCTGGCTTTGTGTGGGGGTCAGAGGGCTGCATTCACCCTTGCATAGCTGTCAAAGTTTCCCTTTTTTTAAGGGAAATTCCCTTATTCTGAATAGGATTCCTCGCAAGAAAAGGGAAAAGTTGACAGCTATGCACCCTTGACCAACCTTCCAGGAGCTGCATGCCTGTGGTGGGTGTGTCCATTCCACACTCTCAGGCTCACAGTCATGTGACACACACAGACAGCCCCCTTCCCCAATTCATCTAATCATTGATCTGATGACTAGGGTGAGGACAATCTGCATGGTCTACTACATATGTAATGTTCAAAGTACTATAGCCAGCACATTTATCATGTGGAATATAGTGGAATAATCCTAAGGAAATGGTAGAGAATTCAAAATCATTTTTATATGAAACACATCTCTTTTTCAAGAATTGTAAAACTGTAGTTCACAACTACAAAGCTATGTGATGCTTAAGGTAGGCATGCCCATGGTGTAGGCCTCTGAGCTGAAGTACCTTGTTTGTTTCTTGACAAATTCCCACATGACTTTTTGCAGTTGTCTCCAGGCAGGATGCAAAATCAGGAGATTTATCGACCCCCTAGTAGATCACCATCCATGGCTAGTAGGTTGTATGTAGCTTAGTATTTATTCCTGGTACAAGCAACTATTGCAAAAGATCTCTAAATTTTTAATTCTGTGGTCCAAAACCTGCTCTAGCCATGCACACATTCTAGTAGTCTAGATGAAGTTTTCTATTCCCATCCACAGCAAAAGACTAATGCAATCAATGATTTGGAGCCCAAATGAGTACTAAAATACAGATCATGATGTCCATCTATGTGTCTGTATATGCATTCCTGTTACCTGTACATCTAGAGGATCTTGCTTTCATGTATGAATCTACCTTGGGATCTCTGGGGGTGTCTGAGCACAGATGTAAGGGCTTTTTCCTTTCTGATGCTGTTTCTGATGCTGACACACATCATTTGGTGAACCCTGGAATAGCTTCAATTTGGTCCTTGTAAAAATAAAGGACAACTTAATTGCATCAGTCTTTTGCAATTGCATAGGTACAATTTGTTGTTCAACGTGTGTTTCGCTGTACCAGTTGTGATGAGGGTTGACTGTTTTCTGCAGATTTGTTTTCATCCACCAAAACAGAAAACAACCCATGAACAGCCATTAGACTACAGGTTATCCTTAAGCCATTGGCTAAGGAGGAAATAAAATATGGCTGAAATGTTCCCTGTCCAAATTCACATTCCTAAAATTGGACTATCAACTAATTGTCGATTTATAATTCATGCTAACACATAAACCAAAATTTAAATCTATATACACATATTTTTAAAAATGGAATACATGTTAACAGAAAAATAAAAAGTAGCTCTTATTTTTACTTTAAAAAAGGTAGATATAGTACATGTGGAGTGCATGTATATCCACCATGACAGCAACTCTCGATAAACATTCAAGATGAGCCATAAAACTACAAGATTAGGATGCTTTTAAATGTGGAAACTGAGATCAAAAAGAAAATCCCAATGTTAAGTACACAAAAGCACTCATATCTGCTCAGAATGCATTACTCAGTCATAGTAAGCTACCCACTTTAGATTTCATGATTACCTGGAAAATGCTTTGCAGCTTTCACTCTGCAGATACAGCTCCTAAAATATTCTGTCATTCATGTATTGTGGGAAACAAGTTAGGAAATGCTTAAGAGCCTTTCAACAGTGTTGAAAATCAGTTGGGAGGCTTAATGTTCAGGACCATGTCTCAACATCAAAAGAAGCAGTGGTGACAAATAAAAAGCACGATTTGGGAGATGGTGATGATTCACATATCATTAATGTGCTGATAATTAATACCTGATTTATACAAGAATTCAAGGAAATAAGAATAAAATAACCTTGATTGATATCTGTTAGCTCGGTAACTGTTAAACATGGCAAATATTAGCAAAAGCTTCCCATAATCTCAGATGTGTTCAAATGCTAATTACATAACAAGAAAAATGCAGTTTGTGCTTATACTGTATACTTCCAAAAGAGAAGAAAATGGGGTTCAAATGACCCTCTCCCCCACTGCAAGAGTGCATGAAGGGGAGTTGTGGGGGCACATGGACTAGTCCTGAACCTGCTGGAGATTTGGGGGGCAGTCTACCCTAGAGGTTCCCAGAGCGTAGACAACAGAACCTAGTCTATCCCTGTACGCATAGGGTCATAGCTGGGCAACTGGTTGAAGCTGACGGAGACAGTTACCACAGTAATCACAAGTCGTGCACCTGTTCCTTTAGAGGGAGTACAGTCCTAAGCACGGGAGAAATTTTTTGTACTGGACAATATTTGGGATGCCAGAAACAGAGGCTACAATCAGGTGTGGGGTTCTTTCTGTTACTTTTATTGATTATAATGCTAGCATTTCTGTCCCGATTTTCTAACATTCCTTTCACATTGCAGTACCTGTTGTTTTATGGAACAGTGGCTTCTTGACCTATATACCTCCCTGTATCTCTAAATTTTATTCACACCAGTGGGTGTGGTATGACACGACAATGAACATTACTGGACATATCCCACCCTTTCTGCACATGCACACTTCCTATTCCCCCATGAAAATGTGGGGAAAGAGTCATAAGCCATATCCCACCCCCCCAAATTTCATCACTTTTTACTCCCACATTATTCTGGGTTAATGATGTTGCAAATGGATTTTTTTTCTGGAAGCAATTAACATAGTGCTAAATTTCCTCCATATTCTGCTAGATTTCCGGAAGTAGTTTTTGTGTCATGTGAAAGATAAAAGAAAAGGTGGAATTTATCAGGTAAGGAAACATCAAGAAAATGGAATAATCTACAATCTGAATAGAGCCAGACAAACCAAGGACAAACCAAACCAAGGACAAAATGGAAGGCAAGCAGTCAACTGACTTGCACTGCCAGTAACAGGTCCTGTTGGTACATTAAGCAGTACATTAATTGACATATGATATGATGCAATTTTCTCAATAAATGGGCCACCTTTTACAACAAACCTTCCAATAATCGGAGATTAAAGGATTAAAGGGATTAGAGAGAGAAGTCTATTCTTTAGCATAATTGGGATCTGTCTGGGCAGTCATGGTTATGTGATGAGGTTGGTTGTTTAGCAGGGTAAGCAAAGAGAATTCACTAGCGATGAGGACCTTGTAAAGCTGTAGGTTAGAGGATAAAGGAGAATTTCAATAGTGGAAAGTTAATGAAGGCCTTTCAGAGTTGTTGTTGTTGTTAAATGAGACTGTCATGCATTCTCCATGAAAGAAGAACATATTTATGTTTGAAAGCTTGCCTTTCATAATATATGTATTTGGATCTAGACCAAAATGCAAGACACATATGTTCCATCAATTATGCATCACTTTGCATATTACCTAGATCCAAACATGCTTGCCACCAAATGTATGGAAGCTGTGACCAATCCAGGTTACCTTTTCTAATTTGCGTGAGTGCATAAAGAGAGTGGTGACCAAATCGGTTCTGAACAGGTAAAATGCATTTGGAAAGACTGGTTTTAAATGTACCAACAGTAGGTCAGTGAATGCATTTTACTTTATGAAAGAAAAAATAGTACATAAATAAATATTGGGGAATGAAAAATCTAAGAAAGCATAAAGTGCCTAATACATTCAAGGATTACAATATTCAGTGATAACTGCAGCAACCATTGCAGAATCCAACATTGGCCTACCTACATTCTACCAGCCCTCTAGTTAAAGCTAACTACATAATACTCTCAGCTAGGCTAACGGCATGGCATTTCAGTTTAACAGAAGGCCATAGCTACCAATACAGAGTGAATTTCCAAGAAACAAGCTCCTGTAGACTTATTACTAGAGATCGGTCTGGTGGCCAGGATATAGGAAACAGGAATATCCAAACCTAAAATGATCTTAGGTAAAAAAATTAAGAAAAGTGTTCCCAAAGAGGGAAAAGGGGGAAATAAACACACAAGCCTCATCTCTTTATGTTTGTTCATGAGCCAAAATTCAGCCCCAAGGAGCTAGGCTCAGAGGAAGATGGCCCCAAACAGCTTCAAACCTGAAGAAGGGCTCTCAACAAGAAGACAACAGACCCCAGAACAAACAGAATCTGAAAAAGCCTTAGAGCTAAACAATAAAAAATTGAAGAAGTGAGCTCCATGGTGCAGTCTCTTTGTATCCCTATATACCTCCAAAATTTCCTATCTTTTGAGTCACTCCTTTGTCTCATGGCTCCCTCCACTCTTTCATGCTAAAATGCAGCTCTGGGTTTGTAAACATGAAGTAGGAGTGGACACCTGCAGAAATAGGTGTTTATTTGCGGGGAACAACTTATTCCAAAGCCTTATCAGTGTACTATGGGTCTCAAGAAAGTCACTCACTTACCTTGTATCTTCTTTGCAGGTGAATGATATCAGCTTGACTAAAGTGTTGCCAAGCCTTCTGTTTCTCAAGTTCCACCAGGGCCCAGGAAAACTGGGACATTTATGCCCTAAAAGCAAACATTCAGCTCAGCTTAAACCATGGGCCAGAGTTTTCATAACTAAAGTTTGCTTACATTCCCTTCCACAGCACCTGGAGTGATGACCTTCACTATGCATTCATGTTTAACACTCACCACAAACAATGAGCTAACTGTACATGCACTTTGTTTTATACATGTGGTGGTAAACTTTCATTTGTTGCAGGCACATGGTATGCTTTTATACGTAAAAGGTTTTTTATGTACACATTAAAAATATAATGAACAAAGCAGCCCAGTGAAGGGTAGGTAAATATTTCAGATGATATTATCTCCCTCAAGCTTGGATTTTCAACAACCTTTTGACAAAGACTCCTGAGCAAATGGGAGAAGAGAAGAGGTTCACCTATGGATTGGTAAATGCTAAAGTACTGAAAGCAGAGAGAAGAAATAAATTGAGATTTCTCAAAAGGAGGGGTGAAATCAGTGAGGCTCACCAAAGATCTGTATTGGGACCAGTGCTTGTTCGAAACTCATTTGGAGTTAGGGGTGAACAGTGAGCTGGCCAAGTTTGCTAATGAGACCAAATGATTCAGGATGGTAGAAACAAAAAGAATCTTACTCAAACACTGGGACCAGATCAGCCACTCCAGCTGAGGGCAGCAGGTTAGCTCAGGTGAGACAGTGCAGGTTATGTGGCACACACATCTCTGACCTCTACCACCCCACTTCTCCTAAATCCCCAGCATCTGGCCTAATGGTAAGGCTGGACCTATGTCTGACTCATAATCTAGCCTGGTCTCCTGGCACTTGGGATACAAGTAGAGAAAGTGGATTGCAGTGTTCCCTGACTAAGGGAACAATCCCTTGTCATGAGGAGGCAACATGGCCTCTCTTCTCCAGCAAGATAACATTCCCCTTCCCTTATCTGAATCCTCTGCAGTGAACAGAGGCCTCCTTGGCAATAAAAACTCTTGCTCTGCACTATAACTGAGGTAACGTGAGTCCAGAACTGTCTCCAGCCTTCTGAAGCACCCTCAACCCAGCCCACTATGGGATTAACCTTCTCAGGAGCCCAGAATGGAAGTCTTTGTTCCTCCTAAGAGTGAATGCAAATGCATTGCACAACAACATGAGAAGACAACTCCAACGTTCTTGTCATTAGTGACTGAAGCCATTGTTCCACTCTTGCCTGGCCTGACCTCTTCCAGTCTGGAGCCAGCCTTGCATCACCATTTAGACTTTGCACTCCGGCTGCAACGGAGAGCTCTCTCGCAGCGCAGCAAGCCATATGGGAAGCTGCACAGCTTCAGGGAACATACACAAAAGCAAAGGAAAATAATATTCTCTTGTCTGGAGCAATCTGCTGCTTTTGAAGTGCAGCGAGCTTCTTGGCTCTTTCATAGGAAGGTGCACTTAAGTGCTTCCCCTCACCGGGCTATACTTAAAGGCTTAATTTATCTTGGTATTTGATCCTCTGGTTCCAACCTTCTCTGCACTCCTTCTGTAGTGCTCCTTCTTATGCTCTACCTGCTGTACTCTGCCTCTCTGTGGGTCATCCAGGGCTATGGCTCATTTCCCCCTTACTTGATGTTGCTCAGAGACATAGTTAATCCTTTGACATCTTCCTCACATTGCTAATGGACTCTGCTCTTTTTTCTTTTGCTCTTCTCTCCATGCTGAGCAGAGGCCTTGCTGGGGTTCATCAACACCGTCCTTCCTCCCCCAGTTGATGCCTCCCAGATAGGACATTCAAATAAGATATACTTTTTAACTTCAGTTCAGCTCTGAAACATGTCTCTTTTGGGGTTTATGCACTATAGGATTTATATACTTTTTCTCATTGAGATTTTGGGGGTCTGATACTATGCATTTCCTCTCTATTGCTGCTTGTTTAATTTGCAGTTTATTTATTTATTTATTATTGTATTTTTTAATGATGTCAGCTGTCTTGGGGGTCTCACTGTGTGAGGCAAAAAGGATATAAATATTTCAATAAATAAAAGTTCATTTTGAGAGTCATTTTCTAAAGTGCATTTCTCTTTGGGTGTATTTTTTTCATTTACTTTATTTGAAAACCTTGGGAAAACAGGATGATAAAATAAGTTTCTTCCCCCTCATCTCCTTCCTTCCCTTCCCTTATCTACTTAATTTAGTTTTCTGGAAGAACTGAGCATGTCTGCATGTATACTCCAGAACTATCCCACAAACAGATCCCTATTTTATCCACACACTTTCTAATCCCGAAAGAGCTGGTGATACAACACGTCCTATTACACTCAGAGATGTGGCATTCTTTCTCATGCAGGCCATGATAAAGAAGTTCAACATCTGCAGAGTAAAACTAGAGGGATCCAGCCAACTCTAGGCAAGAGTTGTTGCTAATTATAAATTTATTTAGGATACTCACTGCTTCACATAGTTCTTTATGCAATTATACAAAAACAAAAAACAAAAAAAACCCCTGCAATGTGACAATATGAAAATAGAATATAGAACCGTTGGGAGATTTTCACTTATTTTTATGGTGGTGCGGTTGCCACAGATTTCTGAGTAACAAAATCTCTATGTGCTCACCGTAACACACATAATGAGCTCACTTCATCACACCTCCATAGTCTTGCCAGGAGCTTCAAGGGAGCTGTAGTCTGAGCATGGAAGGTTTTCATACAGTAGTGTCAGTCAATATAGTGTGCTCTTTACTTAAACTACAAAAACTCTGTGGAATGTGTGCCATTTAAAATTTATTTTCAGTGATGTAGTTAAACTTCATTGTTAAGGTTAATGAAAGATCAATTTAGTCACCATTACATTGGGCCATTTCAACTAGATACACCTTGGACCCCAACATCAAAGCTATTCTTCAACACCATTACATTACTTGCAATATCCCCTTCCTGCGAAACAGATCATCTACCAGTATGAATAGATGGAGTTCTAGAGAAGTCAGTAGAAGGGAATCAAATTCCCTTTGGCCCTGTTAGAAATCTTAAGAAAAGTGCCTGTTTGTATTAATTCTCCTCTCCGTGTGCAAGCCATGATTGCAGATTAAAATTATTTATATTTCCCCAGTAAATCCTTATAAAAACGAAATGCTAATTTCTATAATTAAGCATTTATTGTCTGAGAAATGGAATATAGTTGCACAGATAACAACATTCTGTCCCGGTCTCCCATGTTCTAGAATACTAAAAATAATTAATGAGATGTCTGACTTCTGTTGTGTCACAGTGGCAACGCATTCTACTTCAAAGGTGCCTGCAAAGCTAGACTTGACAACAGTGCTAGATAACATGTACTGCCAATGACTGTGGAGCTGTATTATTGATGCTGAGCATTATCCATTTATCTCTTGTCTATAGGAAGGAGGGGGTCTTTTCAAGTATGATTTCTCACTTCTGCAAATTGTGAGTGGATTGGAAAATAACATGCAGCTTTGCAGGTTTCCAGACATGAATGTACTTCACCAGTTGGTATTAACAGCATCAATCAGCACACATTTAAAAAACTAACCTGCATTATTGGAGGAGAATAATAATTACCACATCGGTCACTGCAGTCAGAAAAAAAGAAAAAGAAATATTTTGGGATAATTCTTTTTTAAAAAATCATCTTTAATTTTTTTTTCTTAAAAAGAATATTAGAATACTTTGCCATAGTCAACTACCAAAGCATTTAAAGGACAGAGGTGTCAAAAAGGATGCACATAATTGTTGTTGTTGTTTAGTCGTGTCCAACTCTTTGTGACCCCGTGGACCAGAGCACACCAGGCACCCCTGTCTTCCACTGCCTCCTGCAGTTTGGTCACACTCATGCTGGTAGCTTCGAGAACACTGTCCAACCATCTCGACCTCTGCCGTCCCCTTCTCCTTGTGCCCTCAATCTTTCCCAACATCAGGGTCTTTTCCAGGGAGTCTTCTCTTCTCATGAGGTGGCCAAAGAATTAGAGCCTCAGCTTCAGGATCTGTCCTTCCAGTGAGCACTCAGGGCTGATTTCCTTAAGAATGGATAGGTTTGATCTTCTTGCAGTCCATGGGACTCTCAAGAGTCTCCTCCAGCACCATAATTCAAAAGCATCAATTCTTCGGCGATCAGCCTTCTTTATGGTCCAGCTCTCACTTCCATACATCACTACTGGGAAAACCATAGTTTTAACTATACGGATCTTTGTCGGCAAGGTGATGTCTCTGCACATAATTACAATATGAAAATTAATGCTTTACTCCCTACCCAATTACATGGATTTCAGTGGCTTGAAAAATCATGGAAAACAGAAGTTTGAGTTTGCTTGTTCAGCATATCTGTGTTTAATGCTACTAGTCCTTCATGTTAATAGGGTGAGTCAATGTGTTGACTTCCATTGCCGCTTTAATTTGTCCTCCTTGGTGTGAATAAAATATTTGTAAATCAACCCTTCAGAGAGAGAAAGGGTAAGATGTAACATGATAGGAATGTATGGAGAAAGCAGAAGAAGTTTTCTTCCCTCTCTCATAACACTGAGGCTGAATGTGGCTGAACTTGCTCCCGCAGCAGAGAAATAACTTGATGACCAATAACTTGGATGGCTTTAAAAGAGGATTAGACAAATTTATGGAGGATAAGGTTATCAATGGCTGCTAATCTCAATCAATATGTTCTATCTCCACTTTCAGAGTGGAGTTTCTTCCAGTTTTCTTTTTCCAAGTTATGCCTCTTCCCCTGGCCAGTGCTGCTGTAAATGAAAGCAAGTGGAACAGTAATGGCAACCACTGGCAAGTTCAGCCACCCCCTGCAATGCAAAATGTATTCCATATGCAAGCTACAATAGTGAACATGGTGGAATTATGCACCTTAGAGACATCACTAAGGAGAAGGAAAACTCTGATCCTAAATCTTTGCTGCCTTGCGGCTACACTCATTCGTAAGAAAGGCTTTGGGAGTAAACCCCAAGGAAAAATCAGTACCTGCTTCCTTGTGGGACATCTCCAGGAGAAGAAAAGGCTAAAGAGCAAACCCTACACAAATGTGGAGTGTAGTTCCTGAGACAGTTGGATGGCATCTTGTATGCTTCCTTCCAGCAACTCCTGAAGCCAAGCTGGCGCCAAATGTATTGGTTCCTTTTCCCTTGGACCGCATTGGCGGGGTTGTGAGAGAGGTATTTTTGTCTGGGCAGCCCAGGAAGAACTGCCCAGGCTTGTACCCCGGGGAGGTCGCTTTGGTACTGCTAGCACAGCATTTGACTTCACCCCAGGAGATGCACTGCATTGTTTCTCAAGACAGACAGGTGCCAACTACTTGTAAGCTCCTTTGGGGATCCTTGAAAACAAAGATGCTTGGGGAGTACATATGATTGCTTTGTGAGTGTGATCAATATGCAGCATCTCAACAACAGAAGTGCTCACTTGAGAGAAGATGTTTTGACCCACATTCCTGTGCAGTAAATGACTAACAACTCTGCATTTATTGCACTAAAATCATAATCTAAAAAGAACTTCCATTTTCAGCCCTTACATATGTATTAACAGCAGTGTCGCTATGTTCTTTTCCTGGCAAGGATAAGAATAACCTAAGGATATTTGTACTTAGCTCCTGGCGTTTATTTTCTCTTAACCAAATGGGGATTTTTTGTTTTGTTTTTGGCCTTGCATTTTCACCATATATTTGGATTATTTTTTTTAAAAAAGTGCCTATAAAACAACAAATTTTTAGAATATCTGATTACCATCTTTACTCAAGTCCAATGTGCCATTGAATCAAATACACACCTCAATCTTCAGAACCTTGAAACCAAAAAAAGTATTTGCTGGCGAATGTAAACGTGCCATCGTATCTAATGCACACCTTAATTTTCACCATGTGATTTGGCCAAAAAAGATTTGAGTAAATACGGTATTAAAAGAGCTGGCATAATTTTACTGGCTCTCTCTGGAGCTTCTGAAAAAACACAGGACACTTGCTGGCATCATTCTTTTGTTCCCTTTCTCACAGCATAGCACAGAAAGGTTTTTAATGCAGCTCTACATTTTTGTCGTATGTAATTTCACTTATGGATGTTCCATTTAAAGATAATTCTCCATGCATTTATTTGCCGCCATTACCTTTCAGCACTTTTCACTGTCAGGCAACCCCTCTATATCTGCAAAATTCCATCAGGAATACAGTTCAGCATTAAACAGGTAAATGCTATTTTTCTACAAAGTGCACATTAACTATCTTGACTGGTATGCTAATAGCTCCAAAGCATGGAATTTTAAAAGACTTTTAAAGGCCATCTTACATCATTGCACTGCCATCTGTCTATCTGCAGGAGGAATGGGCTAGTTCAGTCTGTAATGGCACCAGAACTCCCACCTATGATTACACTAACCTTCAACTGCCACAATAAAACATAGCAAATTTAAATGTTTTTAATACAATTGTGTTTGTGTATCTATCTCTTTATATTCAAACTACGGTATGTAAGTTATAACTTTCAGTATTTTCAAACCACCTGTTTGCTAATGAGCTGGTTTGAACATAAAACTAAGCAGAACCCATGGCTTAGCACAAACATACAAGCATGAGAGTTCCTGGAGAGGAAATTGCAGTTGCTGCACTCCTATTCTGGTTCTGCTGCTGCTGCTGCTGCTGCTGCTGCTGCAAACTGAGCCATAGCTTGGCTTAACATCTTGCCTACCCAGGTCTTGGTTGGATCTTCTTCAGATACACCACAACCTGTAAACTCAAGAAGAAACTATGGTTGCAGTTTGTGTTTTATCTAGAGTGAGCTTAATAATTTTAGCTGTGGAATAATGAGGTATAATTTATTTTTCTATGCATTTCGAGCAAAAATTCCATTGCAAAATACCAATAAAGCATGGTTAAAGTTGGCTTATTGAAATAAAGCTTAGTAAAACTTTGGTTGTATAAGATTTACTGATGGGACAAATTTCAAGTAAGTGCAGATAGGCTGGACTGTAGTTATGTTTCCATCTTCTGGGAAACTTTTATTTTCTCTGTGTTTTTTTAAATACATGAACGCTAGCTTTTAAAACTTACAACTTGATCAGCTGTTGAGATGTTTATATCATGGTATTTCACAAATAGGTATTTTAAAGTACTAACGTCTTTTGTTGTAAAATTTGCTCTGACAACTGGCTAAACTACTTCACATTACTTTTACTTTCCTGTTTTGATATTTTGAAAGCCATAATCAAGTTCAATTTTGATTGATCTTTATATTTATAGCTACTGCACCATATTACAGACATTGACAAAAATTCCTCTTGCAATGCTGCCTTTGTATGCATTAAAATAACAATACTGTACAGTAGTTCCACCATATTGCTTTATGAGGCTATAATCTACTTTCTTACAAGACAACTTGATTATGGCTTCATAAAGATGGCAAGAGCTCTAACACAGTGGTTATTTTATAAGGCTTTGTGTTACTGAATTTCATTAGTTTACTTCCACAAGTTG